GTTTTTGTTCTTAATGTTAAACGTCAGACTGTGACATCCTTGGGAACGTCCTCAACTGCTTAATGTTTCAGGGTTTCCTTGAACAGACTCAGGAATTAAACAATATTCAAACACATGACAGTTACCGAACTTTTCTAAACTGTAGCTTCAAAACTCTCCCTGGACAGCGCTTTGAGTGCTCAGGTAGAATAGAAAAGTGCTATATAAGAACTAATCCACCTATCATTTACCAAAATGGTTTCCAATTCCTTCTCTATGGCAGTCCTAAACTACTACGGATGTAATATATTTTTGTCCACTATGGTCTTCTGTGCACGGGTTGTCACCATTTCCAACATTTAAACTGCTACTCGGTTGTGTTAATTGAAAATCATTGCCAAAAAATGCAGCAGTGTATGTGTGGTACATACATAAACCATGAATGGTTTTTCTGTACTGGAAAAACACCATCAAAACTATAAATTGAAAAAAAACTCAAACATGTTTTTTTGTCATGTGCATCATCAGCATCCAAGTTTATGCAGCAGTGTCCCTTCCTCTGGGATTCTTGTGCTTACAGTTTTCATTGAAGAGAAGCCCCGTCACTCTGAAATCCTCGATGAACTCTGGCTTTAATCCTAAAGTCAGTCAGCCGGCTTAGTGTGTGAGTGTGTTTGTGCGTCACTGCGGCTAATATTATTGATTTTACTCCTTGTTTTCGGCAGGTGAGTGATCCACACACTTGCACCGTGTGTATGTTTGCACTGTGTAAGATCCATTGGTCATCCTCCGCCATCCTCCTGTCTATCAATACAGTACTTGTGATACGTGTGATCATCTATAGATGTTCAACTGAACATAAAAAAAAACATGTTTTCTTATTGATATCTAGTAGAAATCAAAGCAAAAGAAGATAAACACGACAGAGATGTAGAGCCAACTGGAACATCTAACCTCACTTTAAGGTGTTTTGATGAAACAATAATGATTAAAAATAAAAGCTTTGGCTGAAAATATGACTTTATTGAATTATATTATGGCTACATTAGTGACATAAATTAAAAAATGCAGTCATTGTGGTTTGGGACATTTAAAACCAGTTATATCATCCCTAAAGATGTCCGAGTTTTGTAACCTATTGTACAAAACACATACATAAACATCTTACATCTAGTAGTGAGTCTGATTTGTGTATGCAATGAGACAGACATGGATCGTGTTTATCATGAGAGGGCAAGAACAAGAAGGCCCTGCATACATACTATTTGCACAGCGATGTGTGTGCACTGGTGATGTTTTGAACATGCGAGTGTGCATGTTTGTTGTTGGCGGTGAAGGGTCATTGTGTGGGTGGTCACCACAAGTTGTGGGAGGCCGAATCAGCTTGAAAAGTTATGAAAATAGTCTTCAAATGTCCAAATATTACCCCGTGTGAGAGGACGTCTTCCTATACTGGGCCCCTGCATGAACACACACACACACAAACATGTTCTGTGCTTTTTTCCTTGACCTCCTGCTGCAACGCACACACAATGTTTCTCAGTCAGTCTTGCTGAAGGCCACTTGAATGCAGTGAAGATGAAGCTAAGCTGCCAGTAGTTGAGCAGTAGAGTGAGAGTAAGAGGGATGAGGTATTTGTTTAGCTCGTATGGAGACTCTGATGAAACTCCAAGACACGAGTCAAAACATTTAACCACAACCAATAGAGTGCAAGATGAGGAAAGAAAAATAGGACATCGGAGGCTGGTCTTTATTCAAAATGTACCATCTGATTTTTTTTTTTAGGAATTAATTTCATTGCTTAATATTTTAACAAGAAATATAAATTATGGCTCATAGGACGGACACACATGAGTGGGCACGTACAGTTAGGTCCATAATTGGTTTCACAAAGACATTGGTCCGTTGGATCTAGACATCAGGCAGGGAATGACTGCAAATGATTTTTAAACAACCTTTTAAAACAATTCAGTTATGTTTGTATGTCTGAATGATTACTTTTGAGCCTCTGGAATGGCTGACTGTGTAATAAAATATTCATAGTTCCTAAACAGTCAATGAAATACTTTTGTTAAACTGCTTAAATTAAAGTTGCAAGTCTGCAATTCAGCATCTTCATTGTTTGATTTAAAATCCACTGTAGTGGTGTTAAAAATAAATACAGTGGCTTGCAAAAGTATTCGGCCCCCTTAAACTTTTTCACATTTTGTCACATTACAGCCACAAACATGAATGAATTTTATTGGAATTCCACGTGAAAGACCAATACAAAGTGGTGTACATGTGAGAAGTGGGACGAAAATCATGCATGATTCCAAACATTTTTTACGAATAAATAACTGAAAAGTGGGGTGTGCGTAATTATTCAGCCCCCTGAGTCAATACTTTGTAGAACCACCTTTTACTGAAATTCCAGCTGCCAGTCTTTTAGGGTATGTCTCTACCAGCTTTGCACATCTACAGACTGAAATTCTTGCTCATTCTTCTTTGCAAAACAGCTCCAGCTCAGTCAGATGGACAGCGTTTGTGAACAGCAGTTTTCAGATCTTGCCACAGATTCTCGATTGGATTTAGATCTGGACTTTGACTGGGCCATTCTAACACATTGATATGTTTGTTTTAAACCATCCCATTGTTGCCCTGACTTTATGTTTAGGGTCGTTGTCCTGCTGGAAGGTGAACCTCCTCCCCAGTCTCACGTCTTTTGCAGACTCCAAGAGGTTTTCTTCCAAGATTGCCCTGTATTTGGCTCCATCCATCTTCCCATCAACTCTGACCAGCTTCCCTGTCCCTGCTGAAGAGAAGCACCCCCAGAGCATAATGCTGCCACCACCATATTTGACAGTGGGGATGGTGTGTTCAGAGTGATGTGCAGTGTTAGTTTTCTGCCACACATAGCGTTTTGCATTTTAGCCAAAAAGTTCCATTTTGGTCTCATCTGACCAGAGCA